CTACGATGCCGGCGAAACGTTTGAGAATGTATCAAGTCCACGGTCAGATGCTGGGAATCATGACAACTATATGGCAGACAACTTCGGACTAGGTACGTTCTACATGGTCTCCCTGAAAACAAGACCAAGTTGCGACAACGAGGTCAAGCCCATTCTATCCATCGAAAGGAGACTGCGACTATACCAGAGGCCACAACATCTTGGTATTCATATATTCAATTAAAAATCAAATTTGCCTGAATATTATTTAAAAGGCACTTTGATTGATGAAATAAGTTATATATGTTCTAAAAATTTCATCATATAAATAGTAAATATATAGAATATGAAAGGAGTATTTAAGATATTTAAAGCACTATAAAAATTATTTTTTATTTTAACATTTATGTTACTCACACTAAAGAAGACAGAACGTACATATAAGCTTTCTCTTAAAGTATATGTAGCATTCTATTCTGAGTAAATTTGCATAGAATGTCTTTTGCATTGAAAATATATCAAGATATTTAGCGATTAAATGATGGAAATAAAATATTTTACATTCGAGTCTTCTTCGCCAAATATATCCAATTATAGTAATAATGCAGAACCTACCGCTTTTAAGGACTTCTCTTATTAAGTCACCTTGTTTAATTAAAGCGTTAGCCTTGATTGTTAAAACCTGTTAGACGTAGAGCTCGTTTGTGCTTTTAATTTAGTACTTGGTCGGGATGCTGGATTTGTCCTAACCACTGATCTAGGGTCCTTTTAAGTGTACATATAATATAAATAGAATTGAAATTAATAGACGATTCATATTTAGTATTATCCATTTGTGGTGTTAATGTAATTTTTAATGCAAGAACTTATCCTAACTAATATATTATAGGCATAATCAAGTTGACAATAGCTAAAGAACAAACTGATTTAAAATACATATTATTTTCTTATGCTAGAACAATATGAGATATAAAATTTAAAAATAAGGCTACACTCGCCAACCAGTATCCACCTCCTAAAATTTCTTATGAAGTAATTGATATAAAGCTAGAAATTATAATTTAAAGAAAGTATTAAATTTATATTTTATTTCAATATCTCGTATAAAAAATTCTTCGATGAACTTTATAGCTTGGAGTGTCAAAAGCAAGTATAAAAAATACTTTATATATTTACTTGAATAACAAGGGTGGAAATCGAATTCTAAATATGAGTTTAATATAAGCCATAGTATTTATAAAAATAATTGTACTAAAATTAGTAGATATTTAGAGTATTTATAAACAAAAACCCTTAATCATAGCAAAATTTAATTTTGGTTTCTAACTTTTGAAGGTTCATAGACCATGGATACATTTTTTTGTAGATACAAGACAACTCAAAATAATAAAATTGGCAATCTATTTTCTTAGAAAACCTTAAGTTTATACGAAGCAAAAATGTCTATTTATGTTAATGATGTAGGATTTATTAAATTCTAACAGTATTAGCATTATTTAGTGTCTAACATAATGTTAGATCCTTTTTGGAAAAAGAATCCAACAATTGCTAACGAAAGAGATGTCCATAAAGGGTAACCAGTGATCGATCTAATCAGTGTTGATATTCATTCATCCGTAAGTAATTGTTTAAAACTAATATCAAGGAATTGGCAATGAGAGAGAGGATATTGGTTAGGCTATATTTTTATAATGTTTCTTCCTTGATGAAATGGTAGCTTTTGATGTTACATCCAATAATTGATAATTTTGACTCAAAACAAAAATCATATGCCAACACACTTCATAAATTCAACTCTTTTTTCCTGTTTCCAACAGCTTGCCCAGGCAAAATTGTACGAAAAACAGGTGACCCGGCAACTAATTTGTCGCTAGCAGCGCACCACTTGCTCTAACCAATCATCTAACAGCATTTTACCCTCAGCCATCTAACCATCTGACAGACGCTGAAAAACTTCAGTTGATCAGCCAATTGTAGGCAACCAAAGCGAAGCTTCTTTTGACTACTTAATTTGACTGTCCACTCTTCGTTGAGACGTCTGATATACTGATTTATAAGGCGTGTGCTATAGGCCCGTGACTTAGCTTTATTGCCGTACTGGTGTCTTCTATTCTACCAAATGGAAATTATCCCATCATATCGAAAACAAGTTCCATTTCCACAGTTAATTTCATTCAGAATCGCATCTCTTATATCCTTGAGCTGATGATAAAATGTAACTAACTCCAGAGTATGGTTGAGCTTCCTCGCTTCCCCCCAGTCACCTTGCGAAACGGCGTTGAGCAGCAGAAATAATGAGGCCGACAAATATAGTTTCTCATATCATCGTCACTAATTCAATCATATCTTTCGGTTCTGCATTGTGTCATCTCAGCCATCGCCTGTTTTTAACTTCGAAACGCCAGTGTCTCCACTTCCAATTACTTCATATTTTTATTTCCCTGTTTCTACTTCTCCAAAAATTAATGAATATATGCTCAGTTCAAATGCAGATTCATCCAAATAAAACAGGATTGTTTCCGGTTGATTCGAGTCCAGGTCGAAGGATCCGAATGGAGCATTTGTCAAGACTTTCTCAATTCGAATTAGATATGGAAATTAATGGGGAGGATTCAAGTAAGGATGAAGAGGAGCTTGTCTACTATGTGGCTGAAAACTCCCCACCTGGAACTCGCATCGGTAATTTATGGCAAAGCCTACCCAGACTGGGGATTAATAAAGAAATGTATTTCATTGTATACAGTTTACTTCCTAGTGAAGATCGGATGGACACAAAAGTTCGAGCAAATGAAACGGAAAGATTTCGCTCAAGCAGTGCATTATATAATGTGGCTAATCAAAATCATGCTGACTTATTTATAATCCGTCAAGAAAATGGAGATGTAGTAGTAGAAGATGGGGCTGAAATTGACAGAGAAGAAATATGCCCCCTAATATCTGGTACAGATGAAGTATGCTGCCTTCTCTATGCGGTTTCCTTTAGTCACATAAAATCTAACTTATCAACTTCGACCGCCATCTTCTCCCATGACGCTCATTCTTCTATATTTATTCGCTTAAAAGTCGTTATAAAAGATGTGAATGATAATGCACCAATATTTCCTCCCATAAAGCATAAGAAAGAAGGATTCAATACTATCAATGGGACAGACATTCCTATTGATTGGGAGGAAGATGATAAGGAAGGGGCTTGGTTAAGTAGCTTTCTTCCAAAATTTCATTCTTCCTATTTCGCCAGCTGCCAACAAGTGGACATCTTGGAGTCTGCTGCAGTTGGTTCAGATTTGGAGCTGCCAGAGGCTGTTGATTTGGACAGTGCTACTTTTGGAAAAGTTCAATATAGCTTGGTGGAAAGCAGCAGCACAACTGCATCAAATGATACATCACCTGACAATCCATTTCAAGTATTAACAACTAATGCTAGCGGTGCATTGGGCTCTCGAGTCCGGTTACATCTCACTCGACCGCTCGACTATGAAACTCAAATATGGCATAATTTTACTCTAATGGCCTGTGACTCTGCCCCGAAACAACTCTGTAGCACCCTGCCTTTATGCGTTGCTGTTCACGACACCAACGACAACAGTCCCATATTTACTAATCTGAACCTGTCACTTGTGATCCGAGAAGACGTGGCAGTCGGAAGTCTGCTTGCCCGTCTTGAGGCGAATGATGCTGACTCGGGTCACTTTGGAGAAGTCTCCTACTCAATAGTTGCAGGCGCCAGAGGTCGTTATGATGCCTCCACGGTGAAGGAGGCGTCTCAATTTATACTCGATCCAAGGACAGGAGAACTATTTCTTGCCAAGCCTCTGGATGGCTCAACCATCTATCGACTCTTAGTGGAGGCCCGTGATGGTGATCCTAATGGGTCAAGATTCTCTCGTACCTGGCTTACTGTACATAGTATCGATACAAACAATCATGCGCCTTCAATCCGTCTCAATCGTGTACAGAGTGAATCACGGCGAGCAAGCCACAGAAAAAGTAACATATCTGGCTTTAGTTATGCACCTTGGACACTGGAAGTTCAAATAGAGGCAGCAGAATATCCCACGGATTACCAAATCAGTCCAGGATTTACAGATAATGCATTCATCAATAGCGTTCTACCGCGATCGGGCAGCTTGATACACTTGTTTGAGAACAATCCTAGCCCATTGGATCTAGCCATTGTCACAGTCACAGATGAGGATAGTGGCGACAATGCTCAGGTATCTTGTCAGTTGGTGCAACCGAGCGAATTTAATCGACTAAAAGAGTCATATTTTTCTAACAGCCAGCAACTGGGAGATCTAATGGCTAAGATTCCTGACCTGCTTGCACCTGCGTTTGGATTAGCGGTGAAGGCAAAGTTTGGGATATTCCTTTCCCCGCCCAACAGAATAAATGAGCGTAGGTCAATTTATCGCCTGATTACTGAGCGCAGCTATGACGCCGAACAAATAGATGGAGCAAATTCTGACAAGGAATCTGTTAAACTATTCAACGGACAAGCTGATTTTAAAATTGTGAAGACAGATGGACAATTGCTGCGTCGGTCTCTTCAATTTGATTTATTCTGTGGTGACAACGGTATTCCAAATAGGCTATTTACCCGACATTCAATTAACGTGTGGATACTAGATAGAAACGAATATCCCCCAATTTTCGGACATGAACGCTATGAATTGGCTATTCAAGAACAACTTCCCTTTGGAACACTTATTACTCGTGTAGGCATTACCGATGATGATATATCAAGTAGGATCGCTTCTTATGCCAATGATCGCCGACCTATTGCTTCGACGTATAGGGATAAACTTATGCAGTATGGAGAGGCTCGATCCACTAAAAGTTACAAAAATCCATGGAGGAGTTCAGAAATGCATGAAATACATACAAAGACTATGTATAGTATAGAGAAGAACGACTCTCAGACGAGCCTGATTCGTATAGATCCGAAGAGTGGGGAAATCTTTACAAATTCAGAATTGGATGCCGAATCCGCGCCTATCTTATATTTTAAGGTAGGTAAGCAAGTAGTAAAGTTCAGACAGTATAACTTACTTTAGAAGAAAAATAAGCATTCTCTGACGCTATTGTCTGTTTAGAAAATAATTTACCATAAACTGTCAATTCCTGGAATTCGAGTCATTTTGGTCGAATTAAGGAAGAGATATTTAAATCGTTACCTAATATCATTGTCTCTATATCTCAAAAAGCATACCTATGAAACGAAAGTTAATGAAGTAAAATTAAGTGACATAGTAAAGTAAATTTCTTCTAAATAGCGAAAGTTCAAGGTATCGTTTGGACAGGAAATCAAAATACGATGTAATAACAATGGATAACTCAGACATTATTATTTCATAGATCAATCTCCCAAAAGATAATAATAAAACGATTCCATTCCATATCAAATAAACTAGCTCATACCGAAATAGAAATTTGATAGTAACCAGTTATATTTATAACTAACTCTTAGTTCCTTAAACCTATGCACTCTTGATTTATTTACGGATATTAGCAGAAATAAAAGTTTGCGTAGCGTATGAGCCAAATCAATTTTCAAGTTTTTCATTTAATTTTTCATTGAATTACGAATTGCTAATGAATCGATGTGGAAATTACACATACAAAAAGTAATTTCTCTTAATCAGGTATTTAAGAGCTTAATTTTAGTCAAAAACCTTGCTAGATCAGAATACAAATTAATTATAACGAGGTTTTTCATGTCATACTTTCACTATATTTGATTAAAATAAATAATAAAATATTTCTGTTGCTTCTATATAAAGGTTAACTTTTAAGGTAAAACGGTCTTATTTAAAAAATGTTGAATGAAATGTTTGAAAAAGTATAAATAGCATTTAGCAATATTTAACAAGACAGATTAATCTCATTTTTATCTCACAATGTCAATTTTATTGCTAAAAAATGGTTATAATCCAGACCAGCCCTTAAGCAATCTACATTTATATTATTCAGTTGCACTAGCTTCCTTAAAAAGCTAATATTTCTAATTTTCGCATTTTCGCATATGTCACTCTGTGGTTGCAGCAAATATATACAAAAACGCTGCTTTAAGCATTATTGAATTTGTAATAAGGAAAATTTTAGTCAAAATATATGCGAATAACTGCTAGAAAGTATGAATCAGAATTATTTTTGCAGCGTAAAATATGCAATCTTCACTTTAGAAAAAAAAATCATATTTTGAACAAAATATACTTAATAAATTGTTAGACATTTTAAGGTAAGTTAAACTTTTGTGTTGGTTATATTCTTACTAGCTTTTGCTAAAAGCAATAATAAAATATGGACCTACGAAATAATAGACAATTGTTCCTTGTTCTGGCTCAAAATATGAGATACCAAGGCGTATTTCTTTAGGAATTAAAGTCAATTCTAATGTTACTATTTACTCGATAAGTTATGTACAATTTATAAATTGAGATCTATCGATAATGTGTAATGAGTCATATAAAACTACACGATTAAGTCACTTACTATATATTAAATATATTAAGATAAAATGAATCCTAACTTCTAACCAAATTGAAAAACGACTCCCCTCTAATAATTAGTATTAAGAGTAGTTAAAATAAGTGAACTAAAATTTGTTATGATTTAGAAGAATGCGCCAGACAAGCTATATTGAGGCTATCCATTCGGTTATTTTAAAATTGGTAGATAAAGATTTTTATGATCAGATGAGAGACTTAATCCAAAATATATGTTAACTGA